GCTCCTCACCCTGTGCCTGGGGCTCTGTCCAGCCCTGCAGGAACAGCAATTCCCAGCGAGCTCCCGGAACAATTCCAGCCCCACAGGGGTGGCACAAGAGGTGAAGGGAGGGATCAGGGTGACAGGGTGACACTGAAGATCAGGAGTGACTCTGTATGGACAGCTTTAGTATTCAGTGCATTCATTCTAAAAATACAAAAGTCTGTAATTTCCTGGTAAAAAGCAGGATTAGCCTTTCATACATCAGTGTCCCATGCAGGTGTTTAATTTTTATTTGAAATTCTTTTTCTTCCCAGCATACAGCTCATGGCAGTACCCCCCAAGTGTCCAGATTCCCTTGGTGTTTGTGGATATGGATAAGAACACTGTGTCCCCTCCAGCTTACAGCCTCTATGCCATGGACCTGCCACCTTCCTATGATGAAGCTGTTCAAATGGGAAAGCAAGTGGCAAGGACAAACCAGAAACTTGATGACATCCCTGAACAGGTGACACCACGTGGGCTGAACCCCAGCCAGTCCCCACCTGACACAATCAGCAGAGATCCAGCAACACAGGCAAATTCAGAAGATTCAGAAGATGCCATGAAAGAACAGCCACAGGTCTGACTCAGTTCAGATGGGGAGCAAAGTAAGGAAGGACTGTAAGAGTTAAAGAAGACATGAAGAGTTTGGGTTTCTAAGTAGGTTATGATGGAAAGATATTTCTTCTCATGCCCTTGTAATGATCTGTCAGAAGAAATGTTTTCTGTGACTGCTCTAATCCCCTGGTAAAGCTTCTTCAAGGATATGAAATGAGGTAAAAGGGCAGCAGTTTAAAAATGCCTGTAAAAGTGGGACATGAATGAGTGTTCATCCTCTGATAAAAAATTGTTCCTTGTGTCCAGCAATAAAAAAGGTTAGGAGAGTTTTGCCACCTTGGGAATCCACTCAGAGCAGCACAAACAGGAAGCTGTTGTACTGGAACTGAAGGGGAGTCCCACAAGTGACACTGAGCAGCCTCTGTGGTTTCTCTTCCTTTGGGAACACCGAGTGCCCAGGAAGCTGCTGAGGACAAAGAGCTGCTCGTGTTCCTCCAGGGGCAGGAAGATGCCAGGACAGGAGAGCATGGAGGGAAATGCTCTGTGTTGTTCCACAGCTGCACCAAGGGAATGAGGCAGATGAGACACAGACACTTCTGTGCTGCTGGTGGTCATGAGACCCCAAGGGATTGGTTTTGAGTTTCTATAAATCTTTCCATTTCTATTCTCAAGATGTGTTGCCTTGTGGGTGGTTCCCTTTGCTATTTCTTTTTTCCAGATAAAGTACACATGAATTCCAAAGAGACACCTGCACACATGGTTCAGGATTATTGATGTGTTTCAAATATTCATCAAATATTTCAAAGATGCCTTTATATTTTGTGATCTGCTCAGGTGTCAGGGTCTCAGGCATCACAGGAAAGAGAAATCCCAGGTTCCTGGCAGCTTTTACCAGTTCAGCACATGGACAAGCTCAGGGATGAGCAGGGTGACACAAAACATGCCTGTGCTGAGCCACTCAGAGATACAAATACCACAGAACAGGCTGGGCAAAAGCTCAAAGGAAATATTCTTAGGGACGGTTCTTTGTGAAGTACTGATAGAGGGATAACTGCTGAGCATCCTTTTAGAGCTGGGAGCTTGGAGCTGATTACAGCAGTGGCAGCCCAGACAAAAATATGGGCTCCAGAGGCAGGGTTTTAATGCCAGCCTTCTCCCTTGCTCTTCCATATTCCAAATGGTCCAAATTTTGTCCACTCCTGAGCAGTGATTTTCTTTGAATCCACTTCAGCAAGGTGCTAATCTGGCTGCTTTAGGAACATGAGCAATTGCCAGGGTGGCTCATGGCTCTGGGTAAGAGCACTCGCTGCTATTAGTGAATGTAGCATAAATTTAGGTGTCTGTCATTAACAGGCAGGAGAAGTGGTGGGCACAAAAGCCTGCACAGCTTTCAGAACACTGTTATTCTCTGACAACCATTACTGCAAGAACTGCCCTGGAAATGAGCTCTAATGATTTAAAGATGAAGATCTCTGGCAGCCACAGGCCCAGGATGCTGCTGCAGAGTCATGTGTGAGCTGTCCATGAGTCTGGCTCCCCAGGGAAGGGTCAGTTCTATTTTTAACTTGCATGTAACTTACTATGAGGGTTGAGTGGTGCAACAAATCTGCTTCTCTTGTGTCTCCTCTCTGTCATCCTTCATTACATTTCTGCTGTTTTGTTCTTTCCTCTGCTTTCCTTATCTGTGTCAAGATGGAGGCTGGGCATAACCAGGGTAACTGTTTGGATGTGCCTGGAAGGGCAATGGATGCCCAGCTCTGGATGTCTCCAAGTCATAAACGCAGCAAATGTATTTTTATTTATTGAACTTTTCCACAGCTCTCAGAAGGAAGCCTCTGCCCTTCCGAAGAAGGAATTAGTGCTGGAGGGAAATGGCTGAGCGCTCACTCACAAACAGACGGGAATGCAAAGCCAGGCGAGTGAGAGAACCGTGACTGACACAAGAGGGCAGTCCCTGCCTGCTCCTGTGCCTGCACGGAAGGGACCGGGCTGGAGGGAGCAGGGGAATCGCCAGGCTCCAAATCCCTGCCCTGGAGCCCGGGTGCTCGCTGTGCCCGCAGGGGAATCGCCAGGCTCCAAATCCTGCCCTGGTGCTCGCTGTGCCC